ACAAAATCGAGCTCAGGACTGCTACCTAGTCGGCCAGAATCTAAGGAGCCAGGAGCCTAGACCAAAAGGAAAGTCAGAGGAGACCATCGTTATTCTGCACTTTTTTTTCTTTGAAGGCATTTGCCAGAACTTAAGGTGCTTGGATCCAGAGCCTAGGAACCAAGCCAAAACCAGCAGCCACAAGGCCAAAAGACTAGACCGGGCTTTTGGCCATTTCCCAATGCGGGGGGGGTTAGAAATTAGAGATGACAGCATGCGAGGAAGAGACACCTTGGTAGGCATCCCAGCTATCCTTTGAGAAGGGCTGTGCCTTATCAGTAAGGGCAAACCAGAAATCCCCAGTCACTGTAGGTGACCAAGGTGCAGCTCCATCATCCTCATCACCAAGTGGAACGAGGAAATGTGCTCCTGCTCCACCTGCCCACCAGGAGGAAGCAGCTTCCTCTCTGAATGAGGACAGCCTTAACCAGAGCCTTTGCATTTCTGTTATACACAGTATCCGCGTTTACCACGCCAAGAGACAGAACCAAACGACCAAAGAGAGAAAATAGGCACTAGAAATAGATCCATATGTTTTCCAAATGTCACAGGCCTAGACATGGCCTCTAAAATAACTGTGATAGCCCTGGCCGGTGTGGGTCAGTGGTTAGAGTGTCAGCCGTGCACTGAAGGGTCGCAGGCTCCATTCTCCATCAAGGGCACAGATGTGGATTACAGGTTTGATCCCTGGCCCTGGTCAGGGGGGGTGCGGGAGGCAGCCGATCCACGTATCTTTCTCACATTGATGTTTCTCTCTCTGCCTTCCTCCTTCCCTCCTTTCTACTCTGTCTAAGAAAAGTAAAAAAAAAAAAATCAGTGGAAAAAATATCCTCAGGTGAGGATTAACAAAAAAGTAAAATAACTGATAATGAATTGCAGGACGATAGATGACAAGATGTGGAATTTCACCAGAAAACTACAACTTAGACAAAAATTACTCAGATGGAAATGCTAGAACTGAAAAATACAATAAAATGAATATATGATTCAAATGCATTAGACACAGCAGAAGAGAGGAAGAACACGGTAGTATCTACCTCAAGGAGTTGGAAAGACAACAGGTTTTAAACCCAAAAGGAAATGTCAAGAAAGCAAATAATCAAGAGAGCAGGTATTGGTGGAGTAGAAGGATTCACCGTGGCTACACAGGGACCCAGGAGGAGGCAGAAGTCTGGGTCATAGTGCTGGCTCTGCCTCCACTTTGCTGTGTGACCTTAGACAAGTCACTTGCCTTCTCTGGATCTGTTTCCCATTTCAGGGAAATAGGCATGACCACCCATTGTGCCCAGCTGACGTGAGGATCACAGGGAGGACAGCTGTGACAGCCCTTTATTAGAAGTGCTAATGTTACCACCAATCTGCAGTGTTGGCTCCGTCATGTCACCAGCATCCACAGAGCAGGGAGCTATGCGAGGAGCCGGGAGGGCTTCCTGGTTCAGCAGGCATTTGCTCGACATTCAGAAACCCACACTGTTCATTCAATTCATTGTCTAAGTATTTGAAACCTTTAGTGGCTCCATCTCATTGCCTCCATCTCTCTGTTGCCAAGGGGGTTTATCTTTGTTAGGGACCCTCCTTGGGAAACCCATACTTTCCAAGCCCTTGAATGGGCTCTGACACCTGTCAGCCCTCTGCTGCTGGTGGCCCGTTAGAGTGTCATGAACACTTCCTCTGTGCCTTCTCCTGCAGACGGGGCAGGGAGCTGGGCCTCCCCTCGCTCGTGTCTTGCTCTGTTTTGGGAGGCGTGGCTCCCTTGGCAGCAGAGATCCTTGGCCCGTGGAGCCTTGGCCCAGGTTCCTTTCCAGAGAGCCAGGGCTGGCGTTCCCCGTGGGTTGTGGACGCCTCACGTAATAGAGTACAGGGAAGTCACGCACGCCTCCTTTCCTCCCTGGGCCAGGGAAAGTGTGGAGGGCGTTCCTGCTTCTCCACTGCACTTTTCCCCAGTGCTTTTGAAAGCGTTAATTGCTACCAGCCCAGAAGCCCCTGCTGGTAGGTGGGAGCCCAGTGAGCACCCTGGCCTTGGAGATGTGGCTGCCAGGACATGCCAGATGGAGGGGAGGAGGGTGTCGCCGCCCCCCTGGTTCTGCAGCTCAGCCTCGCCCTCAGTCTCATTCCACCCCTGGCATTCATATCTCACATGGAGCCAGGATGTGGCGGGGAGCTCGCCTCTCATCCAGAATCTTTTTGATCAACGTGACTCAAGAGTCATCTCTTTAAGGGAACTTGTCTCTGCCCTTGGCATTGGGATACAGAGTTAGAAAGAACATCATGGGCCCTGCTCATCACAAGACAGACGCAGTGAGACCATGTCACTGCTCAGCTCAGACCCCCCAGTGGGCTCCATGCCACTCAGAGAAAACGTGGTCTTGGGAATGGCTTCTGAAGCTGCACACCCCACCCCCAAATGCATCCCTCTCCCCTCCTCCACGCTGACCAAGCGCACCAGCCTTTCTCCCAAAGGCACTGGAGCCTTACCGATGCTCAGGAAGTCCCCACCTTAGAGTCTTTATCCTGGATCTCAACCACCTAACCCCTTGCCTGGCGCAGCAAATACACAGTGAGTGAGTTGGATGGATGGACAGATCTTGCTTGACTGACAGCCCGAGAAGTGAGCAGAATCTCTCTTACCAGCTCCATTTTCCAGTCACAGGAATGGTTCAGAGGGTTAGGTAGCTTGTTCCCAGTCACACAGCACATGAGTGATACAGCCTGGTGGGAGTCAGCGTCCTCAGACTGGCCTTAGTCTGTGCTCTCTGCTCAGATCTCTGAATTGTCAGCCCTTGCCTTTCCCTTCATTCACATCTGCATTCCTTGATGCCATGTGTGTGCCAGACAGGGCCACAGTGAGTGAGACAGTTCTATCCTCGTGGAGCTCCCAGCCCGGGGAGGAAGGAGGCAGATCAGTAAACAGTGCAGGCAGAATGGAGCCAGGACTCTCCAGACACCCAGAGAGGCCCCTCCTCATGCCAGGAGCGGGCAGGCCTTCCTCTGGGGGTCAGAGCCTGCTCAGCCCTTAAGAGTAAGAACCAAGCGGGGAGGGGGCGCTGTTCTGGATGCGGGAGCCCAGAGTCAGGAACAAGTGTGACCTGTGGCTCAGTTGTGTTGCTTCAAGTTGCAAGTAATCTGCTTCATACAATAAAGGGGACTTAGTGTCTCATGTCACTGAAAGGTCAGAGTGTAGGGTGGGCTGCAGGTGCAGCTAGATCAGGGATTTAATACCATTAGCCTGGTCCTGTTCAGCAATCCCCTTTCTCACGAGCCAGCAAAATGGGCAGCGTGACCCTGACTTCCACACCCAACTGTCAAATGGACCAGAGCAAAGGGAAACTTGTTCCCTCTGTACAAAAGTCAGGGGTTTCACTCTGACTGGGTGGAATTAGGGCACGTTCTCACCCCTGGACCACCTTCTATGGTAAGAGGGGTGGGAACCCTCCGCTGGCCCGCCTTTGAAGGTTAATCTAGCTCAAATGGCCGAGAAGCTTCCTGATGGAGGGCGGGGGGCGATGGGGGGCAGACAGCTGAAGGGACAACTGTGGTCACCGTAAGGTTCTAAATATAAGCCCAGTGGTCATGAAAAGTGGAAAATGAAGCAGTAGGACAATCCAAATTTCTTTGCTGACTGAGCTGAGGCATTGAGTCCCAGTACATCTTGGGGCCTGGATGTCTCATTTTCAGTCAGTCATGGTGGATTTAATCATTTCTGAGCAGCCCCTCTTTCTACTAAAAGGTAGTCACTATTCCTTCAAATGTCACTTTCCTGGAAAGAATACATCCTGATCGCTGATGATCTACAGGTTGAGGGTGGGGAGGAATTGATCAGACAAATAGAGATGGAGGCACAGTCCAAACGAAGACCAAAGGGCTCATGCCCAAGGGCAGAGATGTGAGCACAACTGTTTTCTGCAGAAGCCAGAAGATGCCAGTGAGTCTGGGGGCTGGTGTTATGGGCATCAGAGGAGTCCCTGTTTGCTTTCTTTGATTGCATATACTCCCCTTTTTCTAAATCCCTCCAACTATGGTCATCTGAAGACCAGTTAAAGGACAGGAGGCCACCCCTGGAGCAGGGCCCCCATCCTTCTTCCTGGCGCCCCAGCTCCTCCAGGTTTATGGAATCAGAGGATTGTGAGTGTTTCCCATGACCTTGGGCAGGTTATTTAATCTCTCCGAATCTCACTTTCTTCCCAGAACAAAATGGGAAACCCCTATCTAGCTGGCGGTAGACTTGGAGGATGATCTGAGTAAATAGATTTATTTGAAGAATATGCCATTGTGTCCGGCTTTTAGTGGATCATGTAAGAATATTCATTCATTGAAAAAGGAAAATTAAAGCTTAGCAGTTGCCCGATACTAGAAGCTCAGCAGCTGCCGTTTTATCTCATCTTCTGTAAGTGGAAGTGGTATTGCCCAATTTCCTAAAGAGGACATTGAGGGCCAGGAGGGTCAACAAACTTTCCCAAGGTCACATAGCTGGCAAACCAGAACTTGAACCTGGCCACTTAAGGGCCACTCTGTGGGACTGAGGGTAAGTGGCAGAGCCTACATGCCAGGGTAGGTGGAAGCTTACCCTTTGTGTGGTTGGAATTAGAAGCCATAGAGTGGAGGAGAGAGAAGGCAGCAAGCACTTCACAACCTCTGCGTGCGTTGCACTGTCTGGGCATCCTTGACTCAGTGCCCAGATTTTGGGTGAATGCTTAAATGCACTAGGTTCTGGTGGCAGGAAAGGGGGGTGGGACACCTTCTGTGTCCCTTACCAACCTTGCAGAATAGGCAGTGACACCCCATTGTACATGTGCACACACCAAGGCTCAAGAGGGTGAAAAAACCGTCCATAGTCACCCACCACCTTGGCTTGACGATAGAGCGGGAGGTAATGACTTCATCCTGTGGGTCGTGGGGACAGAGAGACTTTTTAATAACAAGGTGATATAATTTCATCCTGTTCTTCCCCCTTCTCTGTGCAGATGACAGACGACCCTCGCTGCCTTCGTGGAACTCCCTGCCTGACGGCCGCATCTCCAGTGACAGCACTGTCAGGCTGAGCCCTAATTAGGGATCTTCACACGCCATCCTTTCTGGAGGACAGTGAAAGGACAGCTTCCCTCTGTCCCGCACCATGAGCCTTCCGTCCAGGTCCTCATGGCCAAGGGTCCCGACACTACCATAGAGGTTAATCACGCCTCAACCCCTTTGGATGGGAAAGGAAACCACTGGTATTAAGTTTGATTAACGTTTAACCAAGAGACAGTATCGGCTGGGAAGGGTTGCTGACGGAGCAGGCTGCTTTATTTCTGCAAGCGACAGATTTTATGCAAGAAGAGTCATCCCACTCCGAATGGTCCACGTAGCCTTCGAGTGTCACAGGGTGATGTCCGGTGCCCCGGGGTGACCATCGCCAAGGAGAAGTGAAGTTGGCCGTTGCAAGCCTTGAGGCCCCCCTGGGAATCCCCACCTTGCCTTGTGATTCCCTTCAGGAGTGTTCTTCCTCCGTCCCTCCTCCGTTAGGTGTGACTTCCTCCAGCCCATCCCTGGGACGCCCCATCGGGAAGGCAGAAATGGTGGCCACCAGGAAGAGGGCCCTCAAACTACTCACCTTCCTCGTTCTCTTCGTCTTCCTCACCTCCTTCCTCCTGAACTACCACACCGTGGCCACCACCGCCTGGTTCCCCAAGCAGATAGTCATCGCGCTCTCGGAGAACTTCAAGAAGCTGGTGGCCTACTCTCCCCGGCCCTGCAGCTGCGACACCTGCATCAGCCAGCAGAGGGTCTCGCCCTGGTTCGACCAGAGGTTCAACCTGTCCATGCAGCCTCTGCTCACGCTGCAGAATGCGGTCTTGGACAAAGACACCTACCTCTGGTGGCTGGTGAGAGCTCGGGCTGAGTGTGGGTCTGGGCGTGAGTGGGGACCCTGGCACCTGGGTACGCACCTGAGACCCGCCTGGTGCTTTGCAGGAATCACAGTATTGGTCGTTCGTTCATTCATTCATTCATTCATTCATTCATTCATTCATTCATTCAAGAGCTACTCATTGAGGATCTACTATATATAAATCCCTGCAGAGGCTTCTGTGAGGACACTCTGGTCCCGAGCACTTAGCAATGCTGGGGTACACAGGAGTTCTTCCTGGTGGGGACCTTGAGGAGGTTCCTGCAGGGAAGCTTGCCTGTGGCCACTACCCCAGGGGTTTTCAGAGAGTGATCACCACACCAGCAGTGGCAGCCCCATGGCCTGGGAGCCTGTTGGACACGCAGGATGTGGGGCCCGGCCCAGCCTGACTGAGTCGGGATCACCAAGGTGGTGAGGTCTTGGGCAGTTACCATTCAGGAGCTTGGAACTGCCCCCAGAGATCTTATCAGAAGCAGGCATTTAATCCTGGACTATTGTTTTTCTTCTATTGTTATGAAATAATGTTTATCATCTTAACTGTTTATAAGTGTACATTTCAGTGGCATTTCAATACATTCACAGTGCCAGGGAACAATCTCCACTGTCTACACCCAGCACGTTTTCATCGCCCCCCACACTCTGCACCCAACTCCCCTCCCCCGACCCCTGGCAACCACCATTCTACTCTCTGTCTGTGCATTTGCCTCCTCCAGGAAGCTCACATAAGTTCAATCGCCGGGTATTTGTCCTGTGTCTGGCTTGTTGCACTAAGCATGTTGTCAAGGTCCACTTTTGCTGTAGCATGTATCAGAATTTCCTTCTGTTTTATGACTGAATGATATTCCATTGTATGTATAGTCCTCATTTTTAAATCTATTAATCTGCCTGGACACATGGCAGAACCTCCCCCCCCC